ATTCCGGTCCTCACAAAGATAGCTAGACAGGAACACAGACTCATGTTCATTACAAACACAGCTGAAAACATGTAGCCTCACAAACTGAGAAAGAAGGGTTAAAACCTGATGAGAATACATGACAAACATTACATCTGCAATGTTTTTATGATCCATTGATTGAAAGTGGAATAATATCAGATACAGAAACTCAGTGTCAGAGTGACTAATGAGTTACCGTGCTCCCGATTCAATTATAAATTGATAAAAAAAATAAAATAAAAAAAGAAAGAAAGAAAGGGCAAAGGAGTGCTGAAGAGTGAGTGGTGACTGCTACCATGGAAACACAGCAGGCAAAAAGCCAACAAGTGTGTGAACTCCGGGAGGGAAAAAAGGGGGGAGGAATAAAAACATGGAAGCTGCAGCAGAAGAAAAACAACACAGTGATGGCGACGACGACGATGATGATGCTTGCAGCAAAAGAAAACAAAACTCAGTTGTAATTATTGCAGTTTGTTCCTTTACTGAAATTCTGCACTGGACTTGATTTTTGATTAATCCCTTTCCACAAATGTGTTGTCATTACCAGAGATGGGCGCGTTACTGTAATCCGATTACCTTTTTCAAATAACGAGTAAAGTAAGGGATCACTATTGCAAAAACGGTAATTAGATTACCGTTACTTTCCCGTAGGAACGCTGCGTTACTGCGTTACTAAAACCGTGATTTTTTTTGCGAGAATGTCTCATGACAGTGACGTAAGCGAGTGCGACGTTCGTGGCAACAGGTGTGTGCAGATCAACAGTGGATCATAGGAGTGCGGGAGAGAGTATGAGCGTGCAGCGTTTAAAGTGTGGAAGTACTGACCTTACTTTAAGTTTGATTCCATAAAAAGTGACGAAAACATTAGTGTCCGTTGTGCGTGGGAAGAAAACTTCTTTTTACAGCAAACAAAAACCCCTAAACTTCCAAGCAAGCACCGAGTGCGCTACTACGTAATGGGAAATTCACAGAGAAACTCGCGGATTCTTCCACTGACCGCTGCGGCACACCTGCACCAGGGTAAACCTCCGCCTACCTCACTCCTGCTTTACAGGTGAAAATAGAGCAACAGGACCGATAGTCTTTGATTTTATTTATTTTCTGCTGTGTTTTACTTGCATCTATTTGAAAGACCGAGTGTAAACACAAAAAAAGATTTTATTTTATGTGCTGGAATGTGCAGAAAATAGGTTTAAATATTAAACAAATTTCTTCCAGTCTGAGACTATTGCATATAATTCAATTTTTGCTTGATGCATAAAGTTAAAAGGTTAAAACTAATAAAACAAGTTTTAAAAAGAGACTTTTTCATTTGATTACATTTTGTATGATGGATTATGCAGAAAAAGTAGAATTGGGCTGAAAGATCTATCACTTTATCACCTCTTCAGGTTGTAAATCGTGTTTTTAAAAAGTAGCTAAGTAGCTAAGTGGGGAGGAGAAAAAGAAAGGACTCAAAAGCAACCAAGGCAGAACTGCTTGGCACACAGTACATACAACATTATATGTAAAATTATGAATCAGAACAGAGTCCCACTCTATCTAAAGCTAACCCTCCGTTCTCTTTCAGTCATGCCTTCCTGTTTTATTGTGATAGTTATTGTTTTCTGTGACTTGTGTTGCGCTTGCTTCCCCTCCCTCGTTATTTTTCTTTGTTGCATCATCCCTTACTCTTTTTTTGCATCCCGTGTGTTATGTGTCTCCAGTACAGTTTTCTAGTTAGTAAATTCCTGGTATCTGCTCAGCTTAGGTTCTTTTGTTAGTTTGATTCCTGTGAGTCCAGCAGTAAAGCTGTATTTTGAGTTCAGTGTTGCTTCCAAGTCCTGCATATTGGGTCCTAATCTTGATAGCCACACGGCAGCATATGACTGCCTCAGGTGCATCGCTTATTATTAAATCTATCCTTCATAAGTGTGGCAGTGTGTCCATTACAGTTGGATGCTTGATTTTATGACACACTGATTGGAAAGCTGACTAACATTAAAATGGTACCTGTATCCTGTTTGCACTGTAACGTATTAAAAATCTATGCAGCAGGGACTGTCGAGTTCACATCATGACCAGCTAAGCCTGAGATTAGGAGTCAAAATTATTTTGTAAATTTACAAAGAAGAAATCCTGAGTTCTGTCTGACTTAACTAAACACATCACTGCTGCTGCAGCTGCTGCTGCTATTTCCCATTTATGATCCAGTCTGTCCTGTTAGCTCACATGCAAGCCTCTCCATAGATGAGGTGATTCACACCTCAAGGTGTTAGATTCCTCGTGCCTATGCAAACACGCACACACACAC